CAAAAGAAAGATGATCTAAAAGTCAAGCAAAACATTTCTCTAAAACATTGAATGGGTGTCAAACTACCGAAGCACCATTCTCACGGCATCAAAAAAGGTCCTGAAAAATGCCTTAATGCAAGCACTAATTTAAGATGCTCGTTCGCACAAACCACCCTCTTACACCTTCAGCTTGCACTAAAAGATTCACATGCTGAAATCGTTGGCATCCTCAGAAAAATGGGTGAATTTATATATATACTAATATAATATAAGAGGGAGTTGGGAGAGCTACAGTAAACCATGGCTCACTTTTTCCTTTCCATTTTGGTCCCTCATATTTATTCAACTCAACTTTTTTTTGTTTGAGACTTTTGGGTTATTCAGTAAATTGACAGCCTTCCTTTTATCCTTATATTGTGTTCAAGCCAAGTTTGTATCGTTGTGTGAGAGCTTTGAATTCGTTATTAAATTGGGAGTATTTTGAAGATTAGTATGGTTGCATCTTCTTAGAGAAAAAAGCATCATCTTCTCTCTCCATTTTTACAAGGGAGATTAGTGTATTGTTGCATCTGATTTCATATTTTTTTCAGTCTTTCTATCTATTTACCTCAAATCCTTTTGGGTTTGATTCTCTCTGCATGTCTTGCTTATTTCTTGGTCATTCTTTTAATTCTCTCACCTTCTCGGTTTCGAAACAGAGTTTGTTATGCCTTGAGAGGCTTCCTCATGGTGAGCATGATTAACTCTGAAAAAATCCATGCACTGTCAAGAATGACTCAACAGCAACGTGCTGAAGCCACTTAGCCACCAATTCCCAGACCAGAGTTCCCTTTATTAACTCAGACTCTCTAGTTTTGAAATAGGTATCAAACGATTCTTTACCTTTTTTTATATGGAAATTTTCTTAGAATTTTCCTCACCAATTGCTCTATATAAACTCTTGGTTTCTTAACAAGTTCGAAGCTTTTGTTCAATCAAACAGTCCTAATTGAGTCCAAATTAGAGTTTCTCTGTCCAATTTTGGGTTTTGACTTCTTTTTTTTTTTTTTTTTTTTTGTTTTGACTGTTTGATTGTGTTTTTTTTTTTTTTGGTAGGTGGATTCTAAAATTTGAAGGTTTTGTTGTGATGGGGAAATAGTTGATTGGTGTCAAATGCAAGTTTGCGATGCATACGCTCAAGGATAGGCTGAAGAACTATGTCAATGATCTCGAACGCATGTTCATGGATCTGTGATTGTCAAGGAAGGAGACTCTTGCGATTGGTGTCACTGTGCTCAAAAAGCAAGTGCATTAGTTGCTTGGGTAGTGGAAAGATCACTAAACCAGTCTTACCCAGTTTTTGCTTTCCAGGTTCTATTTGCACTCTTTAATCTGCATGCTTATATACAGGTGTGCATATATATATATATATATATTATATGTCTATTTATTTAATAGTGAATTACATGGTGCATGTAGATAGACATAATTTTTCTTTCGATCGTGAATGAAATATTTTGCAAGTTGGGCGTCTGGGGTCTTCTTTTCATCTAACATTATAGGCTGTTGCAACTCTGTGAGCAAGAAGATGATGTTAGAGTGCACTACTCTCCCAACACTTGAGCCTTATGCCCAAAAAATTCTATCTTTACTTTGTTTCTCTTTTTGTTTCTTTTTTTTTTTGTTTTTTTGCTATGAATTTTTTCTTTGCTTTGGTTCTCCTATTTCCCATTTATTATTGCTAATACCCAAAATATAGAGCAAAATCAGATTTAGTGCATAAGGAAAAAATGGAATTCTCAGGTATTTGGTTCTATTAACATATAGAACTCCATTGTCTTGTTCATTTTACAATTGACGTTGTAGCATAATTGAATCTTTCATTTACTTTACTTAAGCCTGAATGCAAATGTCCCTTGACAAGAAGAAAGATTTCGATGCTGCATTCTGTCGTTGCCTTGCTGGCTTTCTTAATTTTACTATGCTGTTAAATTATTTTCGGTTTTTAATTTTGCTCTGTTATATTGTGTAGGTAAAATAGAATCTAAAGAAAAATCAAGTAAAGCGAATCTTCAAATGGTTCAGTTTCCATGGAATCTCAAAAAAAATAAAATAAAATAAAATAAAAGGTTTGAGTACCAATCCTTTATTAATTGGTTTCACAAACATCACTTTCTTTCTTCTTCTTCTTCTTCTTTTCTAACTTGTTTAGTTATTTGTAGATTTCTTTGTATCTCTCTTTGCTCCGTTGCTGTATACCGGTTTGGACCATGATTCCTTTCATTTTGTTTGCTATTTAACTTCATGCGTTTGTCATTTGTTTACAAATGGAATTTTTTTTTTTTTGCCCGCTCATTATTTAGGCAGTGTTTGGTTCATGGTAATGAAAGTTGGATCGGAATGCTCATTCTGATGTTTGGTTCGCTAAAAATTTATGGAATAGGCATTCCAATTGGTTTGACGATTCAACTAATATGGCTAAATCGCCATTCTGTACCTGTCGAATAGCCATTCCTTTTCTTTCATTTTTTTGTACACTAGAAAATATCATTTCATTGCTAACACTGTGTTCTAATTCGTAGGAAAGTTGAATATAGGGTTAAAATTTTTAATTTGTTAGCTTCATTTTCTTTTTTAAACAGATAGCTGCTGCTTTGTTTAGATCTGAAAGTAGGCAGTATTTAGATCCCTCTGGTTTAGAGATACTATTTGAGGTAGATCAAGAAAATTATATCAAAATTCGTTGTTTAATCTGAACGGCTGCATGTTCTTCAATTCCCCTTGATTGAATTTGTTGTTGTCATTTACTGATGGAGATAATACTCCAAAGTTGATTGTGTCTGTACATGATAAGGATAACAAAGAATGGGGGAGAAGGATGTAAAAGTCTTTCATCAATAATTCTTTCAATCGTTTCTTGTGTTATTGACATCTCTGTATTGAATAGTTGCATTCAAATCATTTGAATTTGAATTCACATGCTATATACATAACAGTGAACTATAAATAGAAAAAACTACTTAGAATAATACATAAAACTTGGTTTGGAAAATATGTAACCCACGTGGTGAGAACATTAGGGATAAACAAGAACAAGAAGAAAATGGAAGATAAATCTTTAGCACTACTCAAATTGGTATTTCTGGAGCAACAAAAGTTAAACTGAAAGGTTTACAGTCTTGGATAAATACAGCCAATAACTAAGATTTTAGATATAACTTCTACTAATTTCTACCCATCAAGAAGCAAAGACTGTTGTATCTCATTGCATTCCTTTTAAAATTTTGACCATACTTAATTGTAGAATATTCAGCCATGTTCACAAAACGAAGTTGTTTTCATCTAACATGTTTGTAGTTCAGGTTTCAATGTATATTGGGATTAAGGCAATGAATCAGTTATTTGAGTAGGAATTATATGCCTGCATATGACTATGTAGCAGTAGATTCTTGGTTCTACATACCAATTTAATAGTTTTTAAGGTTTGAAAATAATTGTTTGCCTAACCGAGTTGATATTAGCTTTTGGTTCTACTTAGCTTTTGGTTCCACTTGCCAATTTACAAATATATGTGGATTTATGAGTGATACTCTAAGAAGCATGGACACGGACACGTGACACGACACGAGTACGACACGGACACGCCGACACGTTAATTTTCAAAAAATGCAGGACACGACACGATGAGGACACGCATGAAATATATAATTTTATATATTTATTATATGTTATATATATATGAATATATCATTCAAAGATAATAAAAAATGCAATATGACACTAATTCTTATAAATTTATATAGTTTTTATTTTATTATTGTATCTTAAGTTATTTTGTTCAGACTTATAATTAGTTTTACGTATGTCTAATCGTTAGACACGTGTGTTTAAACGATTGACACGTGTGTCCTTCAAGTGTCCAAAGAGTGTCCAAGTCTTTAAACAATAGGACACGTTTTGAAGAGTGTCGGACACGTGTCCTGAGAGTGTCCAAAGAGTGTCGGTGTCCGACACGTACCCAACACGGATACGTCACCTTCCTAGAAGTGTCCGTGCTTCTTAGGTGATACTTGAGCAGTATTGGTTGTGTGTGTAATTAGCAATAGGGGTTGGATTTATTTGACTTACATTTTTTAAAAAAATATTTATCTATGAATAAATATACATATATATGCAAATAAATAAATAAATACCTGCATACACATGTATATATTCATGGATAGATTCAAATATAGTATGCAACTGTGGTGTGCTCTGAGATTTGTGATTGGTCATATGTTTAGAGGAAGTGCTAAACTAATTGCCGGTAACTTTGGTTTGAAGAGAGAAGGCATTGAGAAGGAAAGTTTTCAACGAAAGTGAGCGAAGGTGTTAAAAATGAAAAAGATGAAGAAAGAAGGTAGATGAAAGAGATTGAGTTCCAGGAATATGAAAACTTGCTTTTAATCAAGCCTTGGATTGGATGATATTCACTAAAAGTTCAACAGGAGAAAATGGCAACAGTTAAACATAAAATGTAGTTATGATTATTTAATGGATTTGTTTTTTGCTTTTGGAGTTTTGATTAGTACAAAATCCTTGAAATCGGACCTGATTCGTAGTAAAGGATGGTGTTAGTGCTATTCCTGAAGCATTTTTAACAGAAATGGTTCATACTTTGCTATTGGCTTTGCTACAGGTGAACATAGGATTACACATTCTGGAACTTGTAGAACCTTAACAATTCAACTTTTTTTCCTATCAAGGGCATGACTAATCATGCAAAGCATGACACCCATGCCACTAGTATATATATCATTACATCATATACAATCTTGATTTATCATGAAGGGCTCCCAAAAAAAATGGTACCGGAAAGAATAGTCCAAGGTTCCTGTAGGCACTCATTCCTAGTTCATTTTCAACCAAGTAGCAATTTAAAACAATTTTTATACAGGATAAAATGAAATCTAACATTTATTTAACTTGTTTACAATGAAAACTGAATTAATTAAAACTCCTCTGACAACTATCAAAAATACAATATGTCTAATAACTTGAAAAGCACAAAAGAAAGAAAGGTTCTAATTACATATCCAAATGTTACATCAAAAAGTTACATCCCAGGCTCAAAAAGGAGGGAAAATCTTCAACTAATAACACAATGTTCTATAAAAGCATAGAAGCAATGCTAGTGATAATATTCAACATGGCAATGAAATAGAAAGTATCTAGTACACAACAAGAAGATGACAACAGAGGAGTTCAAAATTGCAATGAAAAGTAAACAGGAATCATATATTAGAATCACAAAAATTGGAAAATAGAGTTTGTTTTCAATTCTCACCAAAACCCAACTCTTCAAATCCATCACTTGGACTTCACACTCACTCCATCCTTGCCAGCAATAATCACCGCCGTGGTCATATCCAAGAACAACCCATGTTCCACAACCCCTTCCAAAGCCGAAATCTCTCTCCCGGCAGCCTCGGAATCCTTAATGGGAGTCTTGAAATACAAATCCACAATATAATTCATATTATCAGTCACATAAGGCTTCCCACCATCCAATCTAAGCTTAGCATCAACACCCTCCCCTTTAAATAACTCCTGTAACCTAATCAAATTATACTTCCAACAAAATTGAACAACCTCCACAGGCATTGCAAGTCCACTCCCACCAAGACCACTCACCAATTTTGAGTCATCCACCACCACCACGAACTTGTCCGAAGCAGCCTCAACCATCTTCTCGCGGAGGAGAGCGCCGCCGCGACCCTTGACAAGGTCGAGATTGGGGTCGACCTCGTCGGCGCCGTCGATGGCGAGGTCGAGCTTGGGGTGGTCGTCGAGCACGGAGAGGGGGATTCCGAGGGAGGCGGCTTGTTCTTGGGTGCGTTTGGAGGTGGGGACGCCGACGATGTCGGTTAATTGGCCGGAGGAGAGGAGTTGGCCGAGCTTGGAGACGACGAAGGCGGCGGTGGAGCCGGTGCCGAGGCCGAGGACCATGCCGCTGCGGACGTACTCCACGGCCTTGTCGGCGGCGAGTTTCTTGAGGTCGTCTTGGGTGAGAGTAGGGGGGGAGGATTGGGACTTGATGGAGAGTGGTTTGTGGGAACGAGTGCGTAGGTTAAGAGAGGGGGAGCGTAGGGTAAGGCGGGTGGTGGTGGTGGTGGCATTGTGGTGGAGAGAGGAGGAGATGGATGGTGGAGAGTGGAGGGATAAGGTGGCCATGGTGGCTGTTGGGATGGAGGAGGGAGGGTAGAGATGAGAGAGAGAGAGAGAGAGATGGGAGGTGGGAGTCTTTGTTTGGTTTTCGTATCTCCTACCTAATCCCCACTTTTGGTCTGTTCTGTTTTTTGTTGGTGGTGAGTTCATTTGGTTTGGTATTTGGGCATTTTCTTGGGTTTTGGCCTTTGGGTTTGGGTAGTTGAGTGAATATAATAATACAATACAGATCCATGATTTTTTTTTTTTTTTTTTAACAGAATACAGATCCATGATGAAATTTAAAATACAATTTTTTTAATTAGCGGGAAAGTAATTATAAGAATAAAAAATATTACAAAAATCAGATAATAAGGTGGGGTTTTAGAAGATTTGATGAGAAAAATGAAAAAATAAAATAAAATGTAATTTAATTTTTCATTTGGTTATAATAAAAAAATATTTAGGAGAAAAGAAAATAGGAAAGAAAAGCAATATCTCATCTCATTTTTTTGTTTTTTAAGTCCACTCAAAAAAAAAAAACAATTTCATTTCTCAACTCAACTGGAATTTAAATTCCATCAATTCTTTCCCATTTTTTTTATTTCTTTTTCTTTTTTTATTTTTCTCGTCAAATCTTCCAACTAAACGTAACTTTAAAGTTTTGGAAAGTGACTTTTGAAGTTATTTTTTAAAATTTTAGTTAAAATATATGGTGAAAAAAAAAATTAACAGTTTGAGAATGATATTTTGATTTTTTATAAAATATATATATACATATATATAAAGTAGAAAGAGTAAAGAAATGTTTGACCTTTTTACTTTATTTTTTAATTTAATTTAGCTAAAATGCTTACTTTCTATACTTGACCTTTTTACTTTATTTTTTAATTTAATTTAGCTAAAATGCTTACTTTCTATACATTTCTTTAAAATTCAATAGAGGAAATATCATTTTACTTTCTAAGGGTTGTTTTGGGAAGATGGTAAAAAGTGATTTTTTGACTTTTAACCAAGTTTTTTATTTTTTTAGACAAATGATTTGGAAAGTTAGTAAAAAGTGACTTTTGACTTTTTTGATTAATGTTTGTTTATGATGTCAAATCATAATAAAATGACTAAACTACCCCTATTTATTTAAAATATTTACAATTTCACCTATGTAACACATTTTGACCCATGAGGGTAAAATTGTAATTTCACTGTTGGCTAAAAACTAACTTCCCAAATGAAAAAAAAGACAAAAAAGTCAACTTTTGGCTTTTGCTACAAACCAAAAAAAGTGGCTAAAAGCCAACTTCCCAAAATAGCCCTAAATTTTCGCACGTTTTTTCAATTTGATCCTCATACTTGGTATAATATTAGTTTGCCTTCCAAACTTTTAAAATTTTGATCCATGTCGTCACATTCCGTCTACAATCAAACGAAATTTGTTGCCGTAGTACCGAACTTCATTTGAAATTTCATTTTACCTCCAAATTATACCTTAAAAATCAATTAACCCCCCAATTATTAAAAAAAAATTAATTTAAATATTTAATAAATAATTTTTATCTCAATAATGAAAAAATTAAATTTTAACTAATATATACTTTGCAAAAAAATAATACAAAAATATAAAAATTCTCATTTAGAATTATCTTCAGACTACGAAGTATGAATATTTCAACAAACATGTTGTATCTGTATTGGGTATTATCTACGTATGGTATTTATGCGTATGCATATCGAGTACACAAAACACGCACTCAAATTTTTTCTTAATTTTTAGCATGCCTAGACATACCTAGTATATACCCAAGCCAAGACATACCTCAATCGAAACAATATTTCTTCTATTACAAAGATAAAATTCATTTTACTAGACTTCCTTTTCATTTTTTAGTTTTGTACTTAGCATGATTTAAAATTAAGTTATGGTTTATAAGTTCTTTAATATAATGACATTTAATTTTAATTTATCTTATACCTATACTGTTGGCACTAAATGTCAATTGTGTGTTAAATCTTAACAAATTAAACTATTTAATCAATTTTTATATTACTCCAAATTAAAAATAAATATTTTTTTATAAACGTATCAAGCCGTAACCGTACCTTTTCTTTTTTGTATTTTAAAATATCGAAGCACTCGTATTGTACCCGTACCACTACTCATATGTGTACGTGTACTTCATAGATCTCAAATTATCTCGAGTCAATTCTGAAAAAATTTATTGAGCCAAAAATTTCTTAGTTACTCTATGTATGTGCGCATGCGCAATTATAACTATTTTATTTCCCAAATTAAGTTCAATAAAATTGATCAACTAACAGTAATTTCAAAATTGAGTGGGAGAAAATATTAAAATTCAATTACTGTCTAAAGAATACTCAACAGGACTAATACTAAATTTTTTTATTTAAAATTTAATTTTTTTCATTTTTGAGATAAAAATTTATTAATTAAATATATATATTTTTTAAAAAATATATTTGAGGGACTAATTAATTTTTAAGATATAGATTGGGGGTAAAATGAAATTCTAAATGAAGTTTGGTGGCACATCAATAAGTTTCGTTTGATTGTAGATAGAATGTAACGGTAGGGGCCAAATTGATCAAAATTTCAAAAGTTTGGTGAGTAAATTGATATTATACGAAGTTTACAGGTCAAATTGAAAAACTCGTAAAAATTTGAGTGACAAAATGATATTCCCTCAATTCAATAATTGAAGATTTTCAACAATCATCAAGCCTAATAACCACTGCATCAAATAACTCAAATTACATACAACTCTCGAAAATTGAGAGAATTAAACATCACAAAAAATTCAAATTAAGAACTAACAATCTAAAATTACAAAATAGTGTTAGACAACTATTAAATTAAAGGCCTTCGTTAATATAAGGTAAGATTTGAGAGGGAAAAAAAAAAAGTGGATTGATTTGTCAATCTAGCTGTGATTCAAACCTAATCCCTAGTTTTTGGTCTGTTCTGTTGTTTGTTGGTGAGTTCATTTGGTTTGGTATTTGGGCATTTTCTTTGGGCTTTTGTGTTTGGTTGAGCGAATATGATGGCATACAATACAATGGAATATTATTTGTGGAGATGTGACATGTATATATTATGCTATCATAAGTTATGATATTTGTTGGGTTAATTACATAAATGTCATAATTTATAACTAAAGACTTTTTAAATTATAATTAAAATGATATTATAATTAATATTCCAATGAATCATAACTACAATATTTATAATCAAGTCATAACTAAGTCATAATTAACATCACAGTAACTTATAACCAAATACTACCAACATCGCAACTGAGAGCATATGGTATAGATTCCAAGAAGGGAGTGTATCATAGAATTTTTCATGTGTGTGGGGTGTTTTAATTTGGCCTTGGGCTTTCCTTCTGTTCAAATCTGGACTGGAAAGTGTTGTTTGAATTTGTGGGGCACATTAAGGGTATCGTTTCAATGATTTATACCTTTTATTTTATCAAAAATTTTGTCAGACCCTTCGTATATATTATTCATAATATATATATATATATATATATATCAATTCAATATTCATAGCTCTTTCAGTTTATTGTGTTTGTTTCCAAAAAAATTAATGGTCAATATGTTTGTAAAAATTGACCATCTATTTTTTATTTGGTACAAATGCAATAAAATGAATGGAATACAAATATCGGATAGATCTCATTTTTTTATATACGGTATACATGCAATACCTGACAAAATGAATGATTTAGATAATCAAAATAAGACTTGTTGTGAGCTCTACAGGCCTGAATAGCAGCCATCCCTTTCATTTGTATTGTATTAGTTAAAATAATAGAAAAACTTCACTTCATCCCCTGTTGTTTGGGTCATATGCAATTTACCCCCTAACTTTTAGAAATAACCACATCAGTCCATTATGGTTTGTGTACCAAAGTGCATTGTTAGATTCGTTAATGATTTAATAAAAAATATTAAAATACTCATGTATTTTCGTCATTTGTGTTAGAGTATTTTCAAAATAGTTTTCAAAATTTATAATTTAGTTTTTGGGTGTTTTCAAAACCTTAATTATTTTCTTTGGAAAGTTTCAAATAAACTTGGGAACTTTGTCCCACATTGGAAAGAGAAAAAAACATGAAGCACTTAATAAAGTGCTACATGGAATATTCTTTGAATATGGAATTGTGGAATGAATGCTAGTGTGCATGCACTCACACCAAAGCACCATCCGTACACGCACACGCGCGCGTGGTGTAGGCTATGTAGCGTTTGATGGCGCATTTTGCACTTAGCACAAACAGGTTAGAGCGATGATACGAATCCAATATGGCATGAGTAACGTGGAATACAGTCAGCTTCGCGTGGCAATGATGTAGCATCCATTGGCAATAAGTCAACCAACAAATCAAATAATTGCGTGTTCGATCTAATGTTGTTTGATCATAGCCGTTGATTGGAGGTGCAAACGATCGTACGGTTAAGATGGCACTTGATCATGATCAAATGTAATCAGTCAAGGCATTTATTCAGTGTGAGATTAATCTGCACCATTGATCGTCGATCCAACAGACAGATCTAATCAGATATGATCAAAAGACATGATTATTCGATCAAGTGCATTAAGGTCTATAAATAGGCCGTGAATTCAGCCATTTCAATCATTCTAAAATCCTTAGAGCATTCCTACAATTCTCTCTCTCTCTCTCTCTCTCTTCCCTTCTTGATTTAGAGTTTTTGATCAAGTTTCTACTTTTCTTACTGGTAATCAAATTCTGTAGACTTGATTATCAGTGTCTTGGTTTTCTTGATTATATCAAGAGTATTCTAATCTACTATCGTCAGTGCAAACGCCGATAAACTTGATCCTTATCTTGGAGGCAAATTTGTTATAACCCCCTATATATCTTTTGATAGATGTAAATATTGTTTTTAGGAAAGCAACTACGTAATGCGACTTGAAGCACCAAATTTCTATTCTACATAGACAAGATCATTGCCAAGTTTTGAAGACCCAAAGACCACCAACTCAAGAGTTCAATAGAAGAATTAATCCAGCAATCGAAAAACAATATTTAGATATAGCGATGTCTATTCAAAAAATGACTCAAGATTTCATGAGCTTGACAGATTGGATGGAGGAAATTTTTGACACTGGCAAAAGAAGATGC